AGGGAGCCCGATGCGGGACTCGATCCTGGGACTCCAGGATCATGACCTGAGCCGAAGGCAGTCGCTTAACCAACTGAGCCACCCAGGCGCCCTTACATTACTTTTATACCAATGAGACTGACTTAAGAGCAACACTTACTAAATTAGGTATTAATGAAAATCTGAAATGGAAGATGACGGCAACCCAAAGAAAAGCTGATAAAAAATAATTTCCTTAGATCACTTAAGTCAGGGCCATCAGTCCCCCTCCTTCTGCACTAATCTACTTCCCAGACCATCGTTCTATCACCACCTCCTTTTTCTCCCCAACTCTCTACCCAATTTCAATCCTTTCTTCCTAAGAATCAAATACGTGAAATAGGTGAAAGCAGATGAACAGTCCCTTCTTCAAATAGAAATTATGACATTTTTCTCCTCTTCAACTGAAAATGTTTTATAGCACAGAGGGAAAGCCCAGGATAAAAAATGTAGACAACAACTACTCTAAAGAAATAAGCAACATCCTTGGAACTTCAGATTTTACCCAGTTCTTGGTATGAAAGTGAAATTGGCAACTAAATGCCAAGTATTCAATGGAAAGAGACTCTTGATAATGAAGGAAATCTGGGTACACCCACTTAAGAACAACTATAGGAAAAAAGCGACCAGTTAGAATGAGTGTCCATTAAGCTCTGACCATGGATGAGTGACCATCATTTTCCTTTTAGGAAGCCCAAATGAAAAACAATTTTTAAGATTAGAACACACTTCAGCTTTGCAGAAAACCCAAATCTGAAATCTGTTTTTTCTCTTCACACAGGCCAGCTCAGGATGACTTACGGAGTTCATTTCCTTCACTGAGAATCTCCACCCGGCGTGCAAGCTGCTCAAACAGATTCCGCAAATTCAGCATCGTCGTATCCATCTTTCTGCCAAGAAATCAAATATACATTAGGGGTCCTGCCTTCTCCCCCAGACAAAAGATTCGGTAGCAATCCAATATAGCCATCAGTGACTAACATCTGGACTCTTCCATTTGTAGCTACCATTATAAGGATCTCAAGCCAACAATCAGTGTTTTGTATGATCTTTATTATAAAAACAAAGTTGGAACGTTTAACATTCATTTGAAAATCAGAAAAGCACTTCAGACCTCCAAATATAACATCCCCTTCCTGCCTACTTCTTTTCCTCCACTCTGCAATCACTCTGGAGCTGTGAGGAAAGCAATTAAGGACAAGCATGTCAGTTGATTACTAGGTGACCAACTATAAAATGTGGCTCTTAGTCTATTGATTAATATGCTTTTGCCACTTTAATCCTTCTGGACTTTGAAGACCTTCAACGTTAACTTAAAAGGTTTATTTTTAATTTCATTTTTAGCTAGTACCCCTATTGCAACTGCCTTTTAAAACGCAGGACATGGTCAGCACATTTCCTACCAACGGCTCAGATGACGTCACACGAGTGATTAAGTGAAGAAATTGCCAGCTCAGCAGCACAAGAATTATTTCTGTAATGCAGGGCTCTCTGTTGGGACTGTGTGCAGGGACTATGTCTAATAAATTTATACTAAGTATAGGGAAAGGATTATGTTGTACCACATTCTGGCGTCAAGGAGACAATACACCACCTTCACAGTTAGAATGGCAAAGTAAAAAAATCATTTGCTACTGTGTTCTGTGAAGTGAATTTCAGGCTTCATATTTCCCCCCAAAGACCTGCTGATATTACATTAAAAACGGTGTCCTTACAGACAGTTCTGTTCTGAATAGACTTTAACTGGAAACACTTTGAGGAAATAAGGTCTTCATTTAACAATCAAGAAAAAAAGACATCAACTGGACGTTACAAAAATTATCAAGGAAATGAAATAAAAAATAAATTTCATTTGAAAATTGAACGTCCTTAGAAATACCATTAAAGGATTCTTGTGTTTCTCCAAACCACCCTTCAACATTCTGGTCTAGGTCCTTATTTCATGCATCTAAATAAAATTTTAAGAACTCTTTTATGGGGGCACCTGGGTGGCTCAGGTCATGATCCCAGGGTCCGTCCGGGGATGGAGCCCAGCATCAGGCTCCCTGCTCAGCAGGGAGTCTGCTTCTCCCTCTCCCTCTGCCCGCAGCTCTGCCTGTTTGTGTGCTCTCTGTCAAATAAATAAAATCTTAAAAAAAAAAAAAAGAAAGAAAGAAAAAATAACTCTTTTATGAAGGTTTAGTGATTTTACAATGTCTGTAAGATTGTGCCATAAGCTATGAGGGTAAAAAACGAAAAACAGAAAAACCCACAAAGGACAAAGGGATATATAAACAAAGATATTTTCTACTAAATGCTACAGAGTTATTCATTTGTACTCAAATGATGGTTGGTCTAATAGCCAAAAAGCTTTCAATTCCAAGCTTGGAGGTAACATATACCTGAATCAGAGCTGGAAACCAAGATTTTCAAATGGCAATGTATCTGTTCCAAGCTACATAATCACAGCAAGCTGCTAAGCAACCAGACTAACAAATTTATTACAAAGATCTTTCTCTAAACTAAGAACAAAACTAAAAGAATAGCATGCAAACTGGCAGGAAGAGATCTGGAAGCCGTGGAGATGCCCATGGATTTAACAGTATGACAAAACAGGCACATATACCCAGTGCTACAGGGCAGGAGCAGGGCATTCAGTAGTTTATTCAAATGATGATTTCCTTTGGCTCCAGTAAAAATGGGAAGAGACTGATCAAGTTTAATGTAGGGCACTGATTTCCATTATCTCAGCAGTCATCTATACATTCTGAGACTAAGACAGTGAACTCTGCACATAGGAAAACTTCTAACTGCCCAAGAATGCAGAAAAGGAAGATTTCACAGTGCAACTAGAGTATTAAAAACTGGTTGTTAAAAAAAAAAAAAATCAGAAGGTTTGTTTTAAATGACAATACAACAACCTGATCCTTTGTCCCCTTTAAAAGAAATCCTCACATTTTCTCAAGTTCCTCTAGCCCACTATTCTTCTCGCCTATGTTCTTTGTGTATATCACTCCCTAGAGTGAGGGTTGTGGGGAGGTACGCTCTTGAAAACACAACCAGATTCCTAAAAAGACTAAAGACACAGAGAACCTACCTGGGGACATCTCCTCATTTAAGTAACGGTTATCTCATACAACTACCTCCATCTACGTTATTGTCCAAACATGCCTGGTACCCAGGAGGCAGCTGTTTAACTGAACTGCCAGTGCTCTGCTATAAAACAACAGAGGTAACCTTCAACTGTCAGACCATCAGACTCTCCAGATTTAGAGTTTTAGGAAGGGTTTATGGATTTTTTTCTATTCTTCCCTCTCGACACCAGATACTCCCTAAAATTCAAACCTCCAATCTCTCGAAGAACTTATCAAACTATCCCATGTTAGTCATTACAGCTCTCCAGATGATCACCCATCCTTCTCCAGCCTCTCTCCTAACTGCAGTCCTATAGCTCTTAATTTGCGTGGGATGCCCTGGAGGTGAAGCTTGATTCAGAGACTTTGTTCTATATCAGCAACTACTCTACCCACTGACCTACTCCACCAACTCTCAATTTTGATTTCCTTATTATTCACTCAGTTCCAAACCTCAGAACCACCTTAAGTTACTCCCTTTCTGACAAGTATGATCACCATACCCGTGGACTCTTCTCTCATGTTCTCTACCCAACCACTAAAGGAGTGTTCATGTGGGTGAAAATGTGACCCAACAGGAAAATTAGGCTGTCCTCATTCACTTTAACTGACCTTTTCCCCACTGCTTTGCTCAGTTGGCATTCAGACGCATACACCTTGCACTCTAATTTCACTTTACCACATTTCTACCCTATATCCCCGGTAGACTGTACATGTGAGAGGAGAAACCTTACCTTTGGCACTACTGTATTACACACACACATACACACACACTCAATATTTAAAAATAAATAATTGATAGGGGTGCCTGGCTGGCTCAGTCAGTAAAGCGTGCTACTCTTGATCTCAGGGTCATGAGTGGGAGCCCTATGTTGGGCGTAGAGTTTACTAAATAAATAAATAAATAATAAAAGAAAATCAGAGAACACATACACACACCCATGAGTCTACTGTCAAAAGAATTTCCATTCTTCCTGAACATCAATGTGTAATATAGATGAAAACTGAAACAAGAGTTTAAAAAAGGCGTGGCTTGGACAGAAGCCCTAGGATAAAGTTTTAGTTCTTCTATTTGCTAGTATAACCTGGGGTAAGTCAAACTCTGAGACTCATTTAGAAGTGGGAACAATAACATTTGGCCTATTGACCTCACAGAATAGCATCAATTCACTTAGGTAAGTTTTATAATGTATAAATTGAACCTTACTATAGGGTATTATAGTGGGTATGACATTTTTTTTGTTTTTTGTTTTGGTCTGATAGTTGTTATTTACATCCTACCATAGTGATTACCAAATCATAGCTGGAACCCAGACCAAGAAGAATGGAGAAGACAGCAAAATTTGACCAGGTCTAGGCTCTTTAGCAAGCTGTCTTACATTGAGGCTTGTAGCATCTGAAAATAGCTTTTCCTCTAACACAGGTTTACTTAGGGTAATCCAAAAACGGCACTAGCAAAATATAATCCTCTTCTCTTTATATGCCAGGGGACCATGTATTTTTATTAATGTTCTATAGAAGTGACATTCAGGAATTATTTATAGATGACAAAAATATCTTTCTGCATCAGTACTAACTCTGATATCTCTGCCAAATTGTAACTCAAAAAGCTAAAATTTACTCATCCTATTCAATGTCAATTAAAAATGATGTTAATTTTCCTGTTGGGTCACATTTTCACCCACATGAACACTCCTTTATTTCTCCGCCTTTATTATTTAGCTCCATAGCTAGGAGATACACTTATGTGAAAGGAAACAAAAACAAAGTCATATTGTAGTACATTGCTTTGTAGCTGTAAAACAGCTGTCACTTTTCACTATAGAGGCAGCTGCCTTTTGGGAAAGCTGAAATGATCCCTGTGTATAGCAAGGAAATCAGTTTGTGGAGCACTTTAAACAAAAAGGTGCTAGAGAATCTCAGCTGTTATTGATGAGAAGCCCCAGAGGTGGAGAAGTCACTATGTTACAGATTCCCAATCTGTGAGTATCCCTGAGGGAGCAATTTCACTTCACCAGGAAAGAGTCTCAGCTTGATGTGATTGCTTTGAGTCCCCAATTTAATTTCAATCACCCAGCCAAGAGACAGACATCGTCCTTCAGAATAACAGATTATTACAGATCTTAACTGCAGAGTATCCTGGGAAAAGTCTCTATCCTCTTCTTCCTCCTAGAAACAACATTATTAAGAGACCTATACATCACATTTTAGATCCATCAAGGGTGTTAAATATTGTAAGACAAAGCAATGGAAGGTTGTCTGAGTTTTTCAGGAAAGAGTTTTAATGAAAAACATTCTCACAAACATTACTAAATCTGGAGATTCCCAAGAATTCAGCAATACAGGTTTCCCACTGCCAAAGAAAACCATTTCCTAAGAAAGTCTCAATACTACAAGATTCTTTCATATGAAAGCATTTCAGAGTAATTCTTTTTCCCAAATGTCCAGCTTCTGCTTTACTGTATAAGAAGCCTCTATACAACTGGCAGACAGAAGGAATATCTTGAAACCTAATGTTCTTATGAACAAATGAATTGCAGAAAGAGTAAACAGAATGTTCTCAGTCCAACGTGAATGAAGACTAAAATAAAAAGATGAGTTGAATTATTATTTCTCAGAAAATTATTACCAGTTTAGTATACTAAGGTCTCTTTTTTTCCTTCCTATTCTGTGGATTCTTCCCATTCTGCAGTGTTC